TTTGGTGAAATGGCATTTTATATCAAATAAAACCAACCAATAGAAGTCGATATTTCTTTAGACATTGGTCTCCAAAGAAGAAACTCTTACGGGCGCTCCAAATTTGGCCGATTTATGCCGGAGAAACACGAGTCATTCACGTAAGTTTTCAGATTTCGAAACGAAACATTTGTTTTTTAGAAAGATTAAGTCCAAGTTTGAGTCATCCGCTGAGAATTACCAAGCCCTTATTTGCGCAGATTCGATGCTGAGGTCAAGGTGAGTTGATAGGGGTTTAAAAGGATTTAATTTAATGTGTTTAGCAATTGATTCAAACCCTCAGCGAGACCCTCTGATATCTAGGAAATCCGAATACAATTTTTAATGGAGAAAACTTGTTGATTAGTAATTATTTTATTTTTGCGAATAAAGTGCCGAATAAAGCTTACTGATCCCACCATTGGAACCCGTCAGCTGTCAACTATTTACAAAGGCTCACAATGCAATTGATCGTATCTAAGCATCACCGAATTTCAGTTCATCACTCCACATTTCAAGCCGAGAAGCTAGTCGGGTTTCTCTACAAGCATTGCAACCCATGGGTCGCTCAATTCTCGCGTTGGTCAGTGTGGTCTTCACCAGTTCGGCCCACAAAGAGATTTGCGTTGGGAGCGTTTTGGCGAATGTCAGGTAGGGTTTTGTGGTCAAAAACTATTAATATGACAAGCTAACAAGCTGTAGAAGATATTATTTTGTTTTAGAATTACTTCGACACGTCGATCTCTCGAAGATTTTATCTTGCAAGAGCCACGTCTTCTCGTGTTTCGAAATAGACCCATAATCTACGTTGGTATCGCTTTCGTGGCCCCTTTTTCTCGGTGGCTATTCTAACGTTTGTATTCTTTAAAGCACCTCATTATAAAAGCGCGAAAATAGCTTCTCGAAAATAAATCTGTGTCGAAGAAAGTGATCGAGATGCAGAACTACTTCTCGTTGATTTATTTTCTCCAGGCTTCTTTTCAAACTTCCGATTCAAATTTCCAAAGCTGGGAGGGCTAGACAAAGCTGACTGTCATTTTGACTAGAAATTAATGATTAGTGAGGCTCACTAATTGTTGATTTATCAGGTGTTAAACAGATTGATTGGACTGTTACAGTGGTGGAAAAAGTTACCGAAAAGAAAATTCAGTGAGCTAGACAAAGGGGACAAACTTCTTGCACAGCACTTTACATACATTCTCTTGTCCGTTTCCCGGGACTTTTGAATGTTTCTCGTCTTTTATTTATTTTGTTTAACGTACTGTTTGTTTACGTATTTTTAATAGTAATTTATTATCAAATCAAAGACAGATCACATATCTAAAGCCAAAAATACTGAAATCATAAATTTTAGCAATAGAATAGACAATACAAACTTGAATTAAGATCCTGCTAAAACACAAGCATATGATGGCTAAATAGATGAACGAACAAATAGACAATAACTTAGAGTTAAAAAGTATAAAGTATAATGGATATCATTGGAAATACAACAAGAATCTGCAAAATGATTATGGCAGAAATTTTCCTTGAAGCCGACTCTGGTCAAGGAAATCTCCACCTATTCACTGTGATCCAAGACTGATAACATTGTTGACACTTCTTCAATACATTTGCTTTCTTTCACAATACATTCTAGCTCATAGATGTTATTGGTTTTTGACTTAATCCGTTTTTGACTAGACCTGAGCCTGTGTGTAACAGCTCGCAGTTTCAGCGCAACAGGTCAGCTCTGGGTCGGGCCAAGTTAAATGTATTCATTGGTACTAAAATTTTAACATTAAACCAATAAAACAAGTGAAAAAGGCTAAACATACTCTGGCTATTGCCCTGGGGTGTAGATGTCTCAAGATGGTAATGGAGTGGCACGAACCATCCTGTTGGTTGTTGATCCAAACTCTGAAATCCTTCAGCGAATATTTCCTGCTTGCTGATCATGATTCGGGTAGAACGGAAATGGCCAAGAATTAATTAATAGGCCATCAATAGGCCCTCCGATCGCTCAATTCCCATTTCCATCAACGTCGGAATTCCATGAGTTAAATGTGCAACCAGGAACTGGGAAACTTTTCCAGTATCAACGATAATGATATCTCGTCTAGTTTCCAAGTATGTTGATTGATTACAACCAGTTACGCATTGCACTCACTCAAGCTCTGTACGATGTCTTCAAAATGAACGAAGTCCACCCTCGTCCACTTCAATAAATCACATCTCAACTTGAATTTTTCCTTTGATGCAAACAGGGAGAAGTACAGAGTAACGAGGAAACTCCAATTTATTCTATTAGGTTGTCCAGTTATAAATGCGCGTTTTTAAGATAACAACCTTTATTTCGCAAACCAACAGTTTAACAGCTCAATCAATAATATATTCACCATTTGTTAACATTATTTGATTTCCATCTTCCATTTAAAGAATGAATTCCCTCCGCGTAAAAACCTAGCTTGTTTGGAGGCAAAGAAGTCGGCTATCCATTTTTCGACCTCTTGAACTTCTTGGACTTGTTTCCAGCCAAGTGGCTTCGCATTGAGCGAAATAAATGGTAATCCGAAGGAGAAATATCCGGAGAATATGGCGGATGCGTGAGAGTTTCCCAGCCCAACTCTTCGAGTTTTCCTGAACAATCTTTGCAACGTGTGGACGGGCGTTATCTTGAATGAACTTTATGTTTGAGGATCAAGGCCTTTTTGTAGCAATACATTGTTCACTCGTTCCAAATATTGTGCATACGTTCTCAACCGTGATTGTTTGCCCAGGTTTAAGTAGCAGCTCAAAGTACCCAATGCCTTGGGAATTCCACCAGACAGTAGGCATTACTTTCTTGTCAAGGAAGTCGGGTTTTGGTGTTGGTATTGGCTCCACACCAGGTTCCTATGCCTTTTTGCCGTTTCTCGTGTAGAATTATCATATTGAATCCGTTTTTCATCGCAAGTCAGGTTCTCACCGTAAAACCCATGATATTTTTTTGTAAACGCGAATAATCCCCGCCATTAGTGATACGAGTAGCTTTATTGGCATTGCTGAGAAGATGAGGACCCATTTCCCCTTGTCGGAGCTTGTTTTCCCCAAATGATTTACATCGCTCGGAAATGGTTTGAGGGCTTACTCTAAATATTTCTGCAAGTTCGGCTGCGTCGTTTGTCGAAGGGATCCATTTCTATCGCCTGCTTCAGTAGTGCATTATCGATCGCAGGAGGTCGTCGTTGGTGGTCTTCGTCTTCCAAAGATTCATTTCCTTCTCGAAATCGTTGAAACTATCAGCGACCGAAATAGCATCTTCGCCAAATGCACTTTTGCAGAGATCTCGATGGGATTCAACGGCATTTTGCCCAATTTGAAGTCATAACAAATTGACTGGCACGATGACGGAAACTTCGTCTCTGGTCATTTAAACACTGCAAATTAAATCAAAAATGAATTAGTTTAACGTCAAAAACACGAAAGTTGTAATAAATAAGAAACCTTGACCATTTATTATAGAGAATAGGGTTTTGATAAAATAGCATAGCCCTAAGGTAAGCCTGTTGAAGAGCAGGCGCGCATTCATAACTGGACAACCTAATAGAAGTCGCTATCTACACTTCCTCGACTCAAAATGGAAGAACATATCGCTGGTTAAAGGGGTTGTTCTAAGAACTCGGCTGGAAGTTCACTCGCTGGCTCCGAGTGGGTTATCCACATCCCAACTTTGGTGTTGCTGCACCCCAGTAAATGCAATAGAGGTGAATAACAAACAAAGAGAAAACTTTTGCATTGTCAAAAACGATGTTGAATTGTTCTTTTGTCACGCCACTGACTACTTACAGCCAGTAATGCCCTCATTAAAAAAATCAATTAGCACTTGGTAGCGCTTGAAGCAAAAAAAAATTTTTTGGTACTAACATTTTATTTTAGCAAAAAACTGGGCGCGTTCAAAAAAACATTTGCCTTAAGGGACTGCGCGATTGCCTTACGTCATTATCGGGGCCTACTAATCCACGGTGGTGCGCATATTATTTTCGTAAACAGGCTTTTGCCACCAAACACCCAAGAAGTTTTGCACCAGAAATCTTCAAAACACTTATAATCTTTGTCAATTCAATGAATAAAAGGCACAAATCCTTCGATTTGGTCGATTTTTCTTGTTTTGTTGATTCTTCAATGATTAAAAGAGCTTTTTATTTTAGAGAATAGAGGTATCTGAATCGCCTAACCTGTGGCCCCCTCCTCAGCTTGTAAGGGAACCTGGTAAGTTTCTGCCGTGCCGCAATGAATTGCAAAATTCAGATTTTTGGGGTGCCAATCAGGCGGTTTTTGTTTCATTTGCTAATCTTTTAGTTGTTCGAGTTATTAATCAACCTGGATCTCCAATGACATTTGTATTGTGGATTGGCCATATGCAATGAATACTTGGAGAAAGAGGAGACGTTGGAACAAGAAAAGAGAAATCATCGATGTAAAACATGGTTTTTTTAGTCTTTAATCACCCAAACTTTGCCTACTTTTTTGATTGGTGAGCTTTATTCTGATTTTTTCTTTGAGTAAAAAACTGATTAATCAATCGTATGGTTTTTAGATGTTTTGTCACAAGAAAGCGCTTTTATGTTTACTCCAATGGGATATTTGGTTGTGAAGGTTGGATTTGGGATTTACAAATTATAGTGATTCTTTTAGCCTTTCAAAATTCCGGAATGTTCTGAATTTGTCATGACGAATGTGAGTTTGACGGCTTGCTACATTTTTTTGCTTTAGATTCGAATGAAATTGAGGCGAAGAAATCGTTGGCTCTTCGGTGCGGCCATAATATTTGTACGGAATGCTATTTGAAGACAAGAAGTGCTAATAAAACAACATGTCCAACTTGTCGCGATGATACCTATTCTGATGCCAACAAACAGAGAGATCGATTTCATGGTAGATGAATTCTCTTTGCATTCACTAATCTTTATTTGGACTTTCTAAATGAGCTGCCCGAAATGACTCGACAAATGGAGGCAATGATGAATGCTGCGAAAAATATCAAAGATGAATGTAGCTGCAATGAATGCCACGAAAAGGTATGACTTCTTGAATTGATTTCTAGATAGATATTTTAGAATATTATCGACAAGATGTTTTACTGTAGCGCATGTAGCTTTGAAGTGAGTGATTGCTAATATTGAATAAACACTTTTTGATTTTTAGGTTTGTGGGGCTTGTGCTTACGTGAAACATCATTTGCACGGAGCCACTCCGTTATTGAAGAAAAAGGTATATTTTGTATCTTATTGTTAGTTTTGTTTGTTTGAAATTGAAAAAACACGCCTTATTAATTTCATTTATTTAGGCTAACCAAATGTTAACGGGACTTCAGCAAAAGTCAAGAAATGTCATCAAGACGTGCAAGTATGTGGTTCCTGAATTGCACAAGGGACTTTTTGAGAGCATTGACATTTTTGAAACGGTATTTTTATCAAATAAAACCATTTGAAGTCGATACTTCTTTAGAAATTGCTTTCGAAAGAGGAAACTCTCAAGGACGCATCAACTTTTGCCGATTTACGGGAGAAACATGAATCATTCACGTAAATTTTAATATTTTAAAACAACACGTTTGTTCTTTAGAAAGATCAAGTCCAAATTTGAGTCATCTGCTGAGAATTACTTGCCTCATTTGCGCAAATTCGACAAAGAAGTTAAGGTGAGTTGAATGGGTTTTAAAAGAATTGCAATTATTTGTTTAGGAATTGATTCAAACTCTCGACGAGACTCCTGATATCAAGAAATCCAAATAGAAAATTTTACGTAAGCTTTTGATTGTTTATTTTTTTTGTTTCAAATAAAACCTTTAAATAATTTTGATCTAATGAAAACATAAAAAAGCAATTTCATATTGTTAAGGGTTTGATTTAATGGAAAAAAAGATTGGCTAAATTGGGACTTCTTTATCTATAGAGCTTCAGGAGTTTTAACATTTGAAGTAAGATTCGAAATTTGAGTGCGCTTTTCCCATTTAGAGCTCGTTACTGAAATCGATGTGCACAATAATGTGTGTATAAATAAAAATGATGCTCTTTGTGGTTGATGAGCTGAAATTTGTTTGAAGACAATTCTAAAAGTGATGAGCACCGGAGTTTTCTATTGTACAATCGACTCGGGATTCATCGTGCTTCGCCCATTCATGTACCAATGGCTCATGGGAATTCTCGAAGTGCTAGCGAGCTAACGATGGGCCCCATGTCAATTCATCAAAATTTTTAAGAGACGGGTCATGATAGAACCACATTCTTAAGCTTTGAAACTAAAAAATTTTCAAAAAATGATTGTGTTTGATGATGCTCGATCGTTAAAACGGCTAGAAACTCACGGGGAAGTGGAAAAATTTTGTTTCCCGGTTTTGAAAAGCCAAAAATTTTAATTTACGACCTTCGACCTCCATTGTGAACACAAAAAGCGCTGAAAATAGGATCCGCTTCGTGGCAGGCACTATTGTGTTCATTTCCTCATGCAGGTTCACGCGTATTAAGAACACCAGAAATATATATATAAAAGACCGAGCAGAGTTCGAAAATTTATCCATGCAAATGCTCTCTCAACTCATTCTATATCTTCTGGTAGCTGGTAGGTCATCCTTATTTATTAGGAATATACATTGCAATTTTAACCAATTTTGTAACCAATTTTACTACCAAGAATAAATAATTGCATTTTGGACCAATTGATCATTTTACCTTAAAAAGATCTTTGAAAATTGAATATTTCGAAGGTTTAGGTGCAGGGTTTCCAATAGAATAGGTAAATACGGTAAAAAAACCTTGCATAAACTGTTTCAACTGCAAATTCCAGTGTCCACAGTGGCCTCTACACTGCCTGAATGTACGAAATGTCCGGCTGGAGGTGAGTCGTTAAATAAAGGCTAACAGAGTGGATTATGTATGGTAACTTGGTTATTACATGAGTGGAGACAATGAGTGGATTTGCTTTCAGAAATAAATTTAATGGAAAAGCACCTTCATAGAAAAATACAAACTTATCTCAATAGTAAAACACTTCATCGTAAGTACATTCGGGCAGCCGATTAGGTTGGCCGATAAATCTTTAGACACTTTTTTTTCTACTAGTGTTCATAAAGGACAAATTCACCAATTCACCTACGGTTTGCTCCAAATAAAAGATGTTTAGCATTCATTTTTCTATCATTTCAAGCCAATTTGAGTCTGTTTCCAAGTCAATTCGAGTGCAAAAACTAGTTTTTTTTTCGTAAAATTCAATAAAAAGCTCTACAAAGAAATCGGCTGAACAGATTATCGTGAAAATTCGGCTATATACCTAACTTTTTGCGCTCTATCTTTTATCTAATGACAGCAACATAGGTTTCTGTGGACCAAAGCACCTAAATTGCGTCTTCGGGTTGTCGCCTTTTTTGACTACCCGACGTCAACTTTGACTACCCCATAAAAAACATAGACAAAGCATTTTCATAAAATTCGAACGTTATTTTGTAGAAAAATAGTAGACCTTTCTAATAGAGCCAATTGTAGATGAATTGGTGAATTTTTCATTTATAAACGCTAGTAGAAAAATGTCTGAAGACTTATCGGCGAACCTAATAATACGGTAGTTGTGCTGCCTAAAAAACAAGTTTCAGGCTTTTGGTCGAATTGGAAAGACTACACGAGCTGCTCGGCCACCTGTGGGTTGAACGGGCAAAAGGTGCAGACAAGAACGTGCACTTCGTGGTCCAAGGGATGTCCGTGCACGTGAGTTTTCGATAGATAAGTATCACCACAGTTTTTCTAACGAGTTGGACTATTGGATCTCAAATATCACCAGATCTCAGAGAAAATCAAATCAATTTTACTAACGCTATCGTTTTACTATGCGCTTTCGCTTTTCGAAAATCGGCGTTCCAGTGGCTTCGCATCACGAGTTCTTCCATGTGCACCTGGTGCGTGTGTTGCCCCGGGACCTGCTTGTAAATCCCCCTACACACAAGTCAGTTTTGATTTTTTCTTCTTACCTTCTTTTAGTTCTTATTGTATACTAATATCTCCAATTTTAACCCTGCAAACGTCACACTCATTTCCAGTACACAAACAGCGCCACGGGGAAGAAACTCTGCGGAAACGTGTCAAGAACGGACAACTATGTGGCGCCGAAATGTGCGCTAAAAAGTTTGTCTTTTTCTTCTCTTTTCTATAAAAAGAATGTTTCAGAAGTGTTCAATACATGCCCGTGTCCAGCAGCTGGTGAGTGCACTAAAAGAAAGCAGCGCTCTAGCAATAAGCTTTCAAAACAAATTTAACTAAAATTAATAGTGACTCAACAGCCAATCGCTAAATATCTTGTAGCTATGTCGACTTTTCAGGTCTCTGGACCGAGTGGTCCAACGTTGGCTCGTGCAACGCCACTTGTGGTCTTTGCGGAACCGTCAAACAAACGAGAACATGTCGATCGTCGTCCTATGGCTGTCCATGCCCGTGAGTTTCATATTCTTTTGCGTTTAAGTGAACTTCTAAGACAGATTTTCAACAAAAATAAAGCCAGTCCAAAAGAAAAAAAAGCAACATTACCAATACAACTTTTAGCGGAGCGAAAACCCAAAATGTCCACTGTCAGAAAGCGCCATGTACCGGAAACACGTGCTGTAACGGGAACAAAGTGGTGAGTGAATTGGAGGATGAAAGTTATGAACTTACAAATTCTACACATGTTTATGATTGTTATTACCGTTTGATCTACACAATTTTACAAGTTTGGGAATAATAACCGGAAAGGAAACTGATTTCTGTGTTTTCAGGTGAAAATCTTGGGAACAAATCCGGTTGTATACCAATGTGGAATGCAGCTGCCACCCTATGAACTACTCCAGCTGCCCACATGTTCGAAGGTTGTCCGATGGGCCTTCCTTTGTAATATGTAGTTTTAGACGACAACCAAAGCCACAACAAAGGCAACCACAGCTCCGAAAAGTAAGCACAAAAATAAAGCTAACAAAGCCGATGTTATTAAATCTAATATATTTAAAAGAGCAGTGTCTGTCCGTCTGTCCGTCTTTACGCAACTTTCATCTCGAGAATGGGAGAAGCTAGAGCTCCAAAAACAACACCCTTATAGGTTTTTCGTCTAATCAAAAATGAAAAGACTTGATGTTTGAAATTAAGAAAAACTTTTAAGATTGCAAATCGTGCACGCTGGCTCAGTTGAACGCGTTGAACGGAAACGGAAACGGTTTCTACACTCAAGGAGCAGTTATGTAAGTGCTAAAGATCATTATTTCTCAAGTTGTTCTATCCAATTGCATTCTCAGTATTAGAATCTATAGAATTTATTAGAACATTAGAAAATCTATAAGATTTTGTTAAGAAAACTTTTTTCAGAGTTGATGGTGTGACGGGTTGTAACATCTGTGGTTGGAGCTGTAACACGACCACTTCGATGGTAAAACTTTGCTCGCTTTAGAGTGTGAACATCTCTAGTAATGCACTTTTTAAGGGTTATCGGACATTTGATACGCGCCGGCCCTTTTGCCATTGGCAATCTAACTTTGAGTTCAAATAGCTTTTTGTTGGGCTCTCCGATTTAAATATCCAAGCTATATCCAAACCAAGTCTTTCTCTGTCGATTGGTCAAAATCTATTTCAATTGGACAGCTCAACACGAAGATATTTGAGCTCAAAGCTAAATTACCAATGGCGTTTTAGAATGTACATTACTTGACGCTTTACTAAAGTAGAAAATTGCATATGCAAATTTACTTGAGAAGAACACACTCTATCCCGCTTCATGGCGCTCTAATGATGTCTTCACTTAGGTCAACTTCAAAGTCGTGGGAACTGATCTGACGACGGTGATCGTCAACGACAATACTCATTGTGGCTATGTACTTAAGTTTGGTAACCTCAACAATCAACGATTTAGATCAACAACGACAATGATGGACGCTATCAGTGCTCGGCGACTGGTGTGTGGCAATTTAAGACGGTTCGTGTGTGCATGTAAACAAAAAAAAGTCGAATTCAGAATGCTGGTGTGCTGAAAAACATGGGCAAGTACACGTGCTCAAAGGGTGCCGCTTGTACAACAACCACGAAAACGACAACAAAAGCAACAACCACCACAAAGACAACCACTAAAGCAACCACCACGACCGCGAAAAGTGAGCTTTTAACCCATTCGAAACCGCAGCGTTTTTTCTTTTTTTTCGTCTACGGACCAAGCCTTTTTTTGACATTTTTGACTCCGAAGCAGTTTATTTATGGTTGGAAAAATGAAACAGAGTCTCCTACACCATTTATTTTTGATGAAGATTTGACTTCAGTACTTTTCAAGATCCTATCGATTATTGTTCTTATTTTTTCGACGACAATATTTTAGTAGGTAAATCTAATAAACATGGAAAAAGGATAACAAACTGGCAGGATTTCGACGCAAAATCTTTCAAGCTTTTCCTGGCTTCAAATGGGAATCGTCAAAATACCGAGAATTCGTGACTACTGGAGTAGCAGGCCTGGATTAGGAGGATTTCCCCACATGTCCCACATTATGTCAAGAGCAAAATTTGAATCTATTCTTCGAAACCTGCGTTTTTGTGATAATGAACTGGATTCTGCAGGAGATCGGCTTTTTAAGATTAAAGCTATTATGGAACATTTCAATGCAAAACCAGAGACTGCATTGATTCCGGGTAAATATGAAACATCTTTTTTGTCCACGTAATTTGTAGATCTGCTACAATTGGAATATACATGTAATGCTGAAAAGCAGCAAAAAAAAGCAATTAATTGAATGAAAATAGCTCAATTAGAGCTGCAGCGAATAATCGCTGCAGCGGTCCGTTCCTGAGTTTTTGTTGCAGCGATTATTCGCTGCAGAAGTTTTGAATGGGTTAAACAAGTATATACTGGATTATTCAACTAATCCAAGCGAATCAAACGCAATAACACAGAAACAAATCTTTTTCCCAAATCTTAATCTAAACTACCTAATTCCATAGCAGGTCTTCATACCCTTAACTTTCCCATAAACTTTTGAAAGTCAATGCTCATTATTTTGTGGAGTGACGATGCTGGTCAATGAAAGGAAATAACCGTTTGTTATGGCTGCAGTTTATACGCAGGACAACCCGTATCTTAATTTCAACGGGCCCCCCCCCTCCTTGAATCTGGGTTAAAAAAAAAAACCCAATCGTTGCTTAACTTGGCAGATCGGATGGGATTCCGCGTTTCAACGCGGCTTGTTCGTAAACTGAAACTAGATTTAAGAAACTGGAGAAATAGAGGCATCGTTGTTCACGTAGTGTTACACTTAAAGAAGCGATTCATCTATCTCTCTCCAAAACTATCTTCCCTTCATCGAATCGTGAAGTCAATCTTTGTCTATTTTTGCTAATGTACCCTGAAAATTCAGATTCTCTAAATCCTCTAATTCTCTAAATTCTTCAGATTGCAATTCGTGTACGATGGCCGAACTAAACGCGTTGAATGGAAATGGAGACGGTTTCCATATTCAAGGAGCCATCCAGTGAGTTCTACATTTATAAATTCATATAAGGTTAACTTTAGAACGCTAGAATGCTAGATAATTACAAAGCCTATGCATTCACTTATTTTCAGAGTTGATGGTGTGACGGGTTGTAACATCTGTGGTTGGAGCTGTAACACGACCACTTCGATGGTAAGTTCTTTGGTTCAACATTTTTCAAGAAAATATTAAGGTTAACTTCAAAGTTCTGGGCACTGACATGTCGACGGTGATTGTCGATGACAACACACATTGTGGCTATGTAAGTTTCTATTTCTTTTTAAATCTTTTATTCTTGTCGTCAGTGTAAGTCAGCCGCAACTTGACGGGCACTATTTAGATAAACAACGATAATGACGGACGGTATGAATGCTCGAACACTGGTGTGTGGCAATTCAAAACGGTGAGTATGGCCATAATACATATCGGAAATCGTTTGAAGTTGAATGTAATGAGTCTGAATTCAGACTGCTGGTGTGTCTATCGATATGGGCAAGTACACGTGCTCAAAGGGTGTCCCTTGCTGTCAATCATGTACTTTGGCACAGCTGAATGCGTTGAATGGAAATGGAGACGGCTTTATATTCAAGTGAGTGTGTCATATGAAGGGGAATCTGAGTCATTAATTAATTTGAATCTTTTTACTTCTTTGAATCTCTTTCTATAAACCATTAACTAACTTGAATTTGAACGCGAAATGTGATGAGTGAATATTTTAGCGTCGAAGGCATCTCGAATTGCAACATTTGCGGTTGGAGCTGTAACACGACTAATTCGATGGTAATTTTTTCGTTCAACACTTTACTCACTTTTTTACTTGTTACCAACTACTAAGACTTTACTAACTAACTTACGAACTAGTTAGTAAAGCTTAGGATTAAGAAAGTGACAAGAGACTAATTTTAAGGTTAACTTCCAAGTCTTGGGCACAGATCTGACAACAGTGATCGCCAATGACGACACAAATTGTGGCTATGTAAGTTCTTACCTTTTTTCTTCTTGTTTTAAGATACTCCAGATTAACTCCAGCCACATTTTAGATCAATAATGACAATGATGGACGATATCAATGCTCAAGCAATGGTGCCTACGATATTCCAGACAGTAAACTTTTTTATGAAAGCTTTCATTTCCAAAAACCTAAATTCAGGCTACTGGTGTGTATGCTCGACATGTGGCAAACACACATGCTCAAAGGGTGCCGCTTGCTAATAAAAGCCTGTACTTCACTTCAATTAACGTGCCAACAAAACTTCATTTATCTTTGATTCTTGATTTATTGCTTAGGCTCACTAATATCTTATCTTATCTTATCTTTGATTCTTGTTTTATTGTATGCCTCAGCTAATAAACCCTTTAATAAAATGTCAACATTGTATCAACAATAAAAATAAAATGTCAAATGTTAATGTAATTTTGGTTTTCATCAAATAACTAGTTCTTAATCTAGCTAATCTAGCGAAAAATCCAAAAAAAGTACTAAAATCACGCTCAAAAACTAAAAGTTCTTACAACCTCTCTTGTAGCCTGTGTAACTTTATAAACTAGCAAAATTCCGTGCGGAATTCTCTCACAGTTCCGGACTTTGTGCAAACTTCAGAAACTAAATTGATGTTGTTGAAACTGTTTCTTGGCTCAAGTACTCATTTTCCCTCTAGATTGCATGGACGGTGAATTCGAATGATTTTTCATTCCCAATACATGACAGATTCCATTTCTACAGAGAATCTTATCAAAATTGCTGCTATGGCTATAGTAAGTGCAGGAAATAAGGGTCAAAATTAATACAAAACAACAAAATAACCATTAAATACAACGAAAAAGTTGCGCTTTTGAAAAGGTAAAATTATTAGTTAACCAGCCGAAAAACCTGCCTAACGACGGGTTCTTCTGGCTGGGTGTTTTGGGGCAGATAAACAAAAAAATCCGATTTCTTTTTAGAATTCTGAAAAGAAAATCTATTTACAAAATCAGTAACGGATTTTCCTTCCAAAAACATTTCCAACGACCTTCCAAAAACATGTTTGCATAATAATTCAGCTCTTCCCCACAACCCGGCTTTAGCCAAAAAAATAACGATCATCGGTGATAAACTTGGCACGCCAACCAGCTAAATCATTTGATTTTATACAAAAACCAGTCAAAAAAACCAGCCAAACGGCGGGTTTTTCTGACTGGGTGTTTTGTTTTTGTTTCTTTTTGACTAACGCATAGTTTGATCTCTCAGTTAAAGAGCCCCCTCCTCTCCTCTCCTGCGGCCTACTTCAGAGATCCCTGTAACAATACTGGATTCTATCTCTTAATCCTTTAAAGCAATATCGGAACAAACCCTGATACCCTCCGAAGCACCATCGACACCTATATTGGGACGCTCGGCGCGACTAACGTAAAGCCGAGCGCCCCTCCGAGATCCTTCGCTGCGAAGCAACTCAAACTCGCAGACTTCAACTCCATGCTTGAAAACATTTAAAGCAAAAAAGTTCGGAACGGGCGGGAATCGAACCCAACACCCCCTTAGAGCAGTCGTTTTGTAGACGGCTAAGTGGTTTTTTGGTTTTTTATGGGTTTTAAAAATGAAAAACTTGTTTTGACCAAAAAGTATGTTTGGTTCGGACACTTCTCTTTTATATGGTAAATAAAAAGCGCAACTTTTTCGCTGTATTTATTGATTGTTTTTGTTGCGGACAACTAAAAAAATTTTTTTGTCTAACAGTCTGTTTCTTTTATTATTTCGTAGTTTAACTTTATATACAACGATTCTTATTAATGCTTATTTATTTCCAATACTTTTCATCTACAGATGGGCTTCTTTGGTACTTGCCACGCAATCTTGGGTCTAACTGTCGTTTGGAGAAACTCGTATTTACAAGGTTTTCGCATATTTAGAACCTTTTCAATAGTTTTCATATAGGATTGGTTAAACTCTATTTGTTGATCGATTTAACAAATCTCTTCTTCGTTAATTTCTGCCATATCTCGTGGGCGGTGCCCAGCTCGATTTGGTTTGTTTTTTTGAGTAGCAAGGGAATCGTACAATTATTTCTGCTAAAAGTTAAATACAACTTTAAAACCTGAATTTTAAAAACAACAAAATCAACAAATTTTTCGTTTAAGGTCTTTAAATGAAAAGTTTCCACTGTTGGACTCTGTCATCTCGGCTACGGCACTTACCGCAATTGTGTTAAGCTATAGTCCAAAGGTCAGCAATTTCTGAGAAACAAATATCACAAATAGATTATATAATATATATATGTCATAGTCGTTTACGAAATTCAGCCGTTTAGGAATGACGGTGTTTCCGGGCATCCAATCAAAAAGTCGTCAACATAAAAAATGTTCATAATGCATATATTTTATGATAAATTTTTGAAATTAGCTCATTTGGTTCGGTAGAAAATTTTTTTGAGCCCCCAAAGTTTAGGTTCAAAAATGCCTTAAAATGGTTATAAAAAATTGTCTACTCAGCCAAGAAAACTTGACTAATAGCTTTTTTTGTAGCCAATTTGATGCAGATTCTTAAAGTAAAGCTACATTGGACATTTGTTTTTCAAAACTAGGAGAAAGAGGGTGAAGAACGACTTCAGTTGAACTCGGTCGCCGTTTGCACATTTGAGAATTGCCGTGAAATTATTTCTCGCCCTTTTTCTCCTACTTTCAACGAACAATTGTTTGAGATGGCTTTAATTTATAGAATCTACATAAAATTGGCTACAAAATAAGCTATTAGTCAAGTTTTCTTGGCTGAGTAGACAATTTTTTATAGTCATTTTAAGGCATTTTTCCCCCTAAACTTTCGGCGCTCAAAAAATTTTCGGCCGAACCAAATGAGCTAATTTCAAAAATTTATCCATAAAAGTATGTATTATGAACATTTTTTATGTTGACGACTTTTTGATTGGATGCCCGGAAATACCGTCATTCGTAAACGGTTACGACATATATATTCATCGTTTCCATTCAGCTATTCCTTGGCATCAATCGCTTTTCGGCCTTAGCCTTTGATGGTCGCTTTTTCAAACATTTCGAAAAACTACGCTACTTCCAGTATTTTGTTATGCTATTCGTTCCACTCACCGCCTTTATTCTTTACCTCATTCGTAATATTTGATAATTATTGCATAAAATCAAATGATTTAGCTGGCTGTCGTGCCAAGTTCATCACCGATGATCGTTATTTTTTTTGGGTAGAGCCGGGCTGTGGGGAAGAGCTGAATTATTATGCAACGGTAAACATGTTTTTGGAAGGTCGTTGGAAATGTTTTATCTTTACTGAAGCACAAGAATGACACAGGGACAAAATTAATAACTGAGAATATAGGCATAAAAGTCTAGAAGAGATCCTTCCTGAACAATGAATGGGCGGAGCACCAGGCGAAGCTGGGTTTTGAATTTCGAAGGGGTGTAGGATTAGATGTTTACATGATACACATTGTAAAATCATGATGACATTTGTGAGCGAAAGGAGGAGGTGGAAAAGAGGGAATTCTTGGGAAAGCATACACAATTGAGCAAGAGAAGAGAAAGTATGAGTAAGTGTAAGAATATCTTGGAGTAAGAGAAGAGAAAGCCGCTTATAAAGACGAGTTTGTCTAGTTACGAGCAAACATATTAACTCCGCCGTTTTTCGATCCGTTTGCCGTTGGCAATCTACGAATTTTGCTCATGCCTGTTTGTTTGTTTGGAAAACGGTGAATTTGCTTTTATTCGACTCGAAATCAAATTTTCTATCGAATGAAAGCAAATTCAACATTTTTCAAACAAACCCGATCCAGGTATGTGCAAAATTCGTAGATTGCTAATGGCGAACGGATCGAAAAAGGGGCGGAGTTTACATCATGATGACATCATGGCTGGTTACGAGATAACGTAAAGTATCACTTTTCAAACATCTTAACCCTTTAAAAGCTTTCAGGGTCTTTTTGGGCTATGTTTATCTTCCAATTAACACGATTTTCGATTGTACTGTATTCTTGATGATGCATCGGCGAATCCGAACTTTCTCAGAGAGCCACGCCATCAAACGAGCCAACAAAAAAGCGGATAATTTGCGAAAAAGAATACAAATTGGCCGCTCAGGTATTCGGGGAAATTGCTGTGCGAACAACGTTTGCATGAGGCTAAATAGACTTCCTGGCACGAGTTCAAAAAGTCTCATCTTTGTTGCCAAAATTCGGCTGTGATGCATCACGTTCCTTTCGGTTCTTTAGACCTAAAACTTACAAGTAACTCCCGGGTTTTTTGTGTAGATATTAAATTTTTATTTAATTTAGTTTTTTTCTGTGTTTTGAACAGTTTTTAATTTATTTTGAACGTGATAAACGCACTAAATTAGCTTTCTTTTCTTGGGCGCTGTTATGGAAGGACCGGCCGCTGTTATGACTGTTATGTTATGCTATATAGATTCAAAATAAGCGCTCAAACTGTATCCAAGCTTGCTCAAAATCATTTACAACTATTTCTAATCGATTCAGCGTCATCACTTACCCAGGATATCGTTTAGAAACATACAAAACTTATGAAAAAGTATATGGTTGGCCGTCGGCACTTTTTTTGAGGATACCTACTGTAAAAGTTGTAGAAAGTTCAAGTATGTTTAAATTGAAAATGTTAAACTCACTTTAGATGATCACAAATCTGATCACCGGGCTGATTCTCACATTTTCCGTTGCCGGTTTCTCTGCCTTTTCACATACAGCATTCGCTGTTTTCATTGCCGACACGGCGCTATGGCAATTTTGCTCAATAATTTGTTGGTGTACTAGTTGATTCTGATTTACATCAATAATTGAGGTAAATCAGAATCAATTAGAATATTTCTTTTTGATATTTTTCAGCCTTTCTTATGCGATTCTCTTACGTGAGCGTCGAGGATCAAATCGAAGAACCATACGAATGATCTTAAAAGGAGACTCAACACGATAAAATTGGGAAAAAGTCTATAAACAGTTTGATTCCAATTCTTCTCGTCTTCACCTCATTTCACAAAAAGCAAAATAGTTTTATAGTCTACCAAGTTGTATATAGATATACATTGCTCGTAACAGGGATAACCCCACCAGTAATTTGTTCTTTCCACGAGAAGGGGTAGAAGAGTGAAGGAATGAATGGAAAGCTCATTGTGTTGGTAAAGATGGAAAGAGCTTATGTTTTTCGATTCTCTTCATTTTAGATGAACACACGGATTTTGTCATTTTGATAGTCAAGCAGGAAATTTACAGTTGAATCCATCTCCTGCTGTGGCGCAGAAGAACAAATGTTCTAATAATATCGAATCTAGAATAATGTACAATGGCGGAATTTTCCTAAACGAAATTTTGAAACAAGAGTTTCAAAAATTTCACACAGATGACTGGTAGATGGACTGTGAATGCTTGGGCTTTGTGTGAACGATTGCCATTCGATCTGTGAATTTGATCTTGCCAAATTTTGAAATTCATCTGTAAGAAGTTGTTTAATTTATTATAATTTATTATATTATAAAGTTTTAAATTTAACCTTTGAAGACTTCTTTATAAAACTTAATGGACTGAATTGCAAAAATATGAATATTACCACTAGCTTTTGAACCTGAAAAATTGAGATATTTTGGTTTGAGATATTGAGAAAAATAGTTGAGATATTTTGGTTTCACAACCTGTTCTTTTCTTTGTTCTTTGTCTTTTGTCTTTTGTTTTTTTGCTCTTTCATTTACATTCGAGTCTGATCGACCCCTTTTTGCCTTCCAGAAGATTGAGAATTTTGATTTGGTTTCGAGAAAAACAGCGATATCACAGCGAACTGGTCTTTGAATTGGTTTTCACTGAACTCACTTTTGGGCTGAGATCCTGTAGTCTAAGTATTTCGTCTTATTATAGTAGGCTGAAATATAATAACAAGTATTCAAGATGGTTAACTGGTTAACTTTAGTTAAACTGGCTGGCTGAGTTAAGTTCATTTTTTTTTTCATTGAATATTGGATGTTTAACAAGTTTATAGAGAAAGATTGTTCAGGATGACTACTCCCAACATTTTTCTGTAACCAGCGATAATAAGTTTGCAAAGTTTTCCACTTCTATTCTTTTTTCTAATTAACACAAAACATAAACGTTATAAGATGGCAAAAATAGAGAAGCAGAACTCGATGACGCGTTCTCTTCTCCTCTTTGCGGGCTTTCTCCCTCTTCCCCCTTTTTGCTCTTCTCTTCTTGGCCCTTCGATCGATATGCCCATGGCGTTCTTTCCTTTTTCCAGTCAAAGAATTTTCCTTCATATAACTTCAAATTATATTCAATATTTCTGAAGATGTCATCAAATCACCAACAATCCACCTTTCCTCTGACCCGGCTATGTGCATTCACTCGAGAATCCGCTACTCACATGTCGTCATGGGAGAACTGTTAAAATTCCTTCATCTTTGCAAAGAAACGCGAAAATTCGTTCTGAAAAGAGGTCCCTTCAATAAATCGGTGCTGAGACTAGGACCAGCCTCTAATGGATTCGATTGGTGTTCGAGATTTGAGGACTCATTGCACAAAGCTCAAGAGGTGTAAAGAACTTGGAACCAATAAAAGAAACGAACAACTCAACAAAATCGTTTCATTATCCGAACTTCTCAATTGTGAAACTGTTCATCTTGTATTTGATGAGCGATGTTTTTGTCAACTTTACTCCTAAAAATTGTTCAAGAGCGTTATTCGAGAGCTCTATTCTTTAGCCGAACTTTCATCTGATGGATTTCACTTCTCGGATTCATTTTATAACAAATCCAAGCAATGACAACACACTTGTTTATAGATTTGATCTATCGGACTTCAAAAAATTGTCAAATCGTTTCTTTCCGGAGATTTCCGAGCTACTCGCCATTGGTGCTTTCTATGAGTACACGAAAAGTCTAATAAAAGAGAATTCCGATAAGCGAATCGTTTTTCAATTCCCTTTAATTATCTACTATAAATGTTTCTCAAATTTGAAACTGAACTCCATGCAAAGACATACGAAAACAAAAGGTGAGCTGAAGAGTGCAATCGAGTTTGTCGTCCGAGAAGGGTTTCCCAGTGAGAACATCGATTTCTCTGGGGAAATCACCGCCAATTTTTCCCCATTTCTCACCGTTTACCGAAGCAACACTCCGTATAGAAGTGCTACTCAAGAATATGAATTATTGAAAAGTTTATTGGTGGAAAAATTTTCTCTCAAAGTTTGCCATCAAGAGGTCGATTTGTCACCGAGATTTTACAAATATTCAATCGATGGAACGAACAATGAACGCTTCAAATTTATCACATTCACTCAAAAACAAGAGACACGAATGAAAATCTTTCGATTGAATTTTTTAAAGTTTTCGGAGGAAAATCACTTCGCTATCTATTTTGAGTTCTACTATCAAAAGCCGAAGAGATCTCAAGGGATTCTCGAGACGATTCACCGCTTTCTTCCACTAATGAACTCATCATGTGATTGTTATTATATGTGAAATGTTTATGTGAATAAAACTACAACACAACTCGAAACAGCAGTGACAAGCAAAAAAGAACATTGATAAAGAGAAGTTAGCATGATTGTTGGACAAAATATTGGGCTTAATTGGACAGTTGTTGGGCTTAATGGACAAAATATTGTTCTTGGTTGCAATTCTTGTTTTTTTAGTTTTAAGAAAAACCAATGTTACCAGTTTTTTTGTCAACAATTTGAAAAGCGTTTCGAATAGTGTGATCAAAATGAAATCGATAGAAATTGATTGAAATTAAAATGCAATCAGTCTTACCTTTGCGATTGAAGACTTTCGGGGAGCTCTCAATGAAAAGAAAATCATCGTGGTGAAAGTACTCCTTCATAATCGAATTCTGAAAATGGTCTATAGCTTTTTATTACGTTTGTTTGTTATTATGCTTATTAGCTTTATTAGTTTAATAATGAAACACATCAGGAAAACTAATTTTCTTACAAAATCAATAATATTGTTTTTCTCAATAGCTTTCACCACTTTATACGAATTCTCTAGAAAAAAAAATTTGAAAATCATAGTTGATTTTATGATTCTTGAGAAATGACGTTGAGAGAACCTTCTAACAACACCGTTGTTGAAAATATGAAAAGGGAAAAGCATAGTTTGACTATCGTTACGAAGACATAAAAGCCAAAGACGCACAATTCGTATCTTCACAAGGCAAAACATCAAATTTGAACGAGCATCGTTTGGAGATCGAATGAAACTCGCTAATTGTCATCAATGCCAAAGAGTTTTTTGAATTTTAATGATAGATGTTTGAAGTTCATAGTTAAAAGTAAAAATTTCTATGAGAGGTAGTTTATAGTTTAAAACAAACTGCTTTTTGATAAGGAGCTTGAATTTGAAACGGAGAACAATTAACTTTGCAAATCCCAAAAAAAAAGGAAAAACTAGAACGGCTGATTCGAACTAGACAGACTTTGCCTTGTACTCTAACCGGCTTTGTGTTTTTTTTTTCCTTCCCCCCCCCAAAAATTAATAAACCTGGTTTTTTTTTCCCCCCCGGGGTTTGGTTTTTTCCCGGGGGGGGGCCTTAGCAGGAACGGGGAGGAGACCGCGGGAGGAAATTGGGTCAAAGGGTTTGGGGGTTTTTCAAATGCTTCCCCCCCCTTCCGGTTTTGGGGGAAGTGGGGGGGGCAAAAAGGGATGCCCAAAAAAGAACAGAACCCCCCCAAGAAACCCAAGGTTTCCCGTTTGTGGGTTTGTTTCCAACCGGGGGTTAAAAAAGGGAAATAATGAAAAGGGGGGGGGAGGAAAGGATTTTTTTTTTTTTTTTTTTTTTTTTTTGACCATTTTTGCCGGTACAAATGAGTCTTACAGGTCAGCATTTCTTGAAAAAATGCAAAAGAAAAAGTCCAGTGAGAACCTACCTTATGAGGTCTAGCTCTGGAAACGAGCTCTGTACCACTCATCCACGGCTACACCGAACTGGGCCCGCAAAGTGGCCACTAAGACACAAATGGTCACATTTTCAGAGTTCTAACAAAACTTTAGACTTATAACTCCTGGTAGATTGTCATTTAGCAAAAAGGAAATACATATTCACAGTCAGTATAAAATTCTGCGTCGAATGGTATGGCATAGCATTGACCGGCGCAGTCAGTTCACCGTTCCTTGTTAGTCTTATCAGTGTGTTCGCGATTCTTGGCCAATTTATAAAGACTCAAGAGAAAGGGGTGATTGTTCCTGACTTGATGGTCATGAACCATGTGTAATCTTTGCTGTTTCTCGCAAATGTGTTGAGCCCAAATAATTGAAAAAGTCTCTAGATCATTTTATTTCATTTTTTTCGCTCGAGTTTTGAGTCGAAACTTTTTTAGTTCTGTTCAGCCCTCAGCCCGTATTTTAAATGCAATATTTTAGAACTTCAGTTTTTTAAATACAGACTTTACTTTTTATCTAGTAATAAGAGCTAAAAGTACCAAAAGAATCAAGCAAAAGAAACTTTGATTCTTTCTTTTGAGTTAATGCATTAGCAGGTGCATTTTCAACAGTTTTCCCAAGCTTTTGCCCATTTATTGCTTCCGCCTTTGTTGCGTTAACTGATTTCCTAATTTTTATTGCGTTAAATGATTTGTTCGTTGAATATTACTGATCAAGAGTGGAGGATATTCATTTGGTTTCTAATCGATTTTGATGATTCTGAGGTTCGTTTGTAAATGAGCGCTTTGGACTGGTACTGGACATTTACATAAACTCAAAGCTTGTTTAGGGTTTTAGTGTGTTCTGAAAATTAAACGACAATGTATGCTGATAAAGATTTTAAAAAAGCCTTTCAACACAAGACTAAACAAGTTTATCAAAATTTTAAACATATCCATTTTTAGAAATTCCCGGTCATCGGCTCGATCCTCTTCTGTTTCACGGTCTTCCAGACCGTTTTTCTCACTCTTTCACTTTTTCTGTCGATTCCCTATGTGATCGTCGTGGGGAAATGTCGAAAGTTCCACATGAATCTCACGCGCATCATTGTGTTCACAAAAATTCATCTGATTTTTATGATTGGAACCAGTTTACTCGGATTGCTCTATGTTTTCCGTTTCATCAAAAAAACTGGTGAGTGCAATTTTTACGAGGATTTATTTATATATTTAAATTCGACTGTAATTAAACGGGAAAGCTTTCAAGGAGACTGTGTTGCCGATTTTCCCTTGGTTCTTTTGGGCTACACTCGCTTCATCACCACCTGCATCAACTTCGGGTTTTTTCCGGCAATTCTTCTCGAGCGGTAAGTTGAAATTGGTGACAAAAATAGTACATTGAACTTTTCTAGGTAACATTTTATCCCTTTACAGAACTTTCTCAATTCGACACATGTGGGATTACGAAAAGAAACGACGCATCTACATAGCCAATACAATCAACGCGAACACCACGACCATTGCCATTGTTTCGGGGATATTCCTCACTGTTGGTGAGTTTTGAAAAACAAAAATAGTGAAAGTAATAAAAACTCAATAAACTCAAAAATGTAGCTATCATCAAGATCCAATCGGCGGCCGTCTTCTTTGCCCTTCCATTGTTTGTCTCTACTATGCTTTTGCTTCTCTTGGTAAAAACCCAGAAAAAACATTATAAACTTTTAGTTAAGTTTAATTGAAACTGATTTTGCCGATATTAAATTTCCTAGGCTCCATGATACAACATTTAAAAATGAGGCTGAAAGGAAAGCACCAGAAACTGTTTCTTAATAAAAACACTTTTAGATGCATGCTTTTTGAGACAAAACAATAAAATAGAAAGTTTAAATTATTATTGTATTGATGCTTGTATGAGGTTGATTTTAAATTTCTTAGGCGTTCCACAACTTTGGCAACTCACCGATTAGAATTTGCTAAAAAAAACAAAAGTGGCAACGGAATTTGAGAAATTTGAGGTGTCAAACATCGGAAACTGTGTTTTCTATAAAAACACCTTCAGTGCCGCTCAAAGGTAATGCTCCCCCTTAAACTTTTCAGATTTGTCCGAAACAAATGCACAGAATAATATAAAGACAAAATCTTGCTTTCTCATAAATCTGCATAAAAATTTTGGTTTCAGCTCATTTTTGAATGCTTTCCTCAAAACATGACATATACAGAGTGGCTGAAAATTACGTGCGCGCAGCATCTGGCATAGTTTTAAACAATGTATAAAGCATTACTACTCATCTTTTTGTGTTTTAATATTCTTTTTATCGTTATCTATTAATTTTTCGTTAAAAAAGTTGTTTTCTAGGTCATGACAAAGAAGTGCGCTAGTCGGGACGCACAGCTGGCGACGAAATGGAATGAAGAACTTGTCGATCGCATCGAGGCTTGGGGGTGGCTCTTGAGGACCGTCCAGAAGATCGTAAAGCAATGAAAAGAGGGAGGGACATGTTCAGTCCAAGCTCGAAGAGGACGAAAGAGGACCGTTAATTCACTTTCTCGAAACCAAAAGCGGCTCTTTTTTGACGAAGGATCATGACCTGCAAACAGCCCGGATCTCAATCCGTTGACCTTTTCGATTTGGGATTTTATGGAAGAACAATTGAGGGAAATAGGAAAATCAACAATTTGAATGATCTGCGTCCGAGAATTGATCAAAATTTGGAACGATTTAGATGCAAATTATCTCCGCCGCACCGTCGATTCTGTAAAAGAAGCGAATTGAAGCCTGTATCAAGCGGATGGAGGCCACTTCAAAATTCTTGTAATTATTAAATGTTTTTTGTTACAACTGTTGTATAAATGAATATTTTTACATGTTCTTTGAAAGGAAATTCAATTATGGCGTTTTCTTTGGCGCAAATAAATTTAGTAACTGTAACCCTGTGAAAGAAAACTTAAGCTCGCTCAAAAGTAATGGTCCCCCTAAGCGTTTTTGTTGAACACACCTTCATAAATCAAATTTTTTTCTAATTTTATAGTTTTATTTCTAGTTTATTTTGTGTTTTTCAGATATAGGCAAGAAATATTATCCGCTTGCTGTACACAAAATTCTTCTCGATAAGGGTTTCCTCTGGAATCGAATGTCAAAGAGCGGCAAGAAGTTTTGGAATCCCATACACTACGGCAAAGCGCTGGAATCGAGCCTACCAAAAGAAAAATACTTTAGAGTCCATGTACAAGTAAGGACGCAACAAAATTACTGACGAAGGATATGACAGAAGGCTCGTTCTCGAGAAGTAAATCGAATCCTCGTTTAGAAGCAAGAGAAATTCTGCAAAATACTCCACATCCCGATGGTGTGCAACCTTGCATTTCTATTGAAAAGCGAAGACTTGTTGATTCTGGATTATTTGGTCGACATGGCTCAACGAAGCCGCTTATATCGAAGAAAAATCAGAAGGAGCGCTTGTTGTCAGAAGTGGAGCTAAGAATTGCCGAAATTGGAATGTGGACGATTGGGCGACACTTTTTTTGTTTTCAGACGAAACGAAAGTCAACTTGTTTTCTTCTGACGGAATACAATGGATTCGATGACCAAAGAACACACGGACGTTCAGACATTACAATATTCCAACAGTTAAACACGGCGGAGACTCGGTATTTCTTTGGGGATGTTTTTCGGGTTTGGGAGTTGGTTCACTCGTACGCATGGAAGGCATAATGAATGCCGAAAAGTAGAATGGGTATCTTGAAATTATATGTTGCATTATGCTAAGCAAAAATTTGCCTAATGGATGGATCTTTCAACAGGGATCGCGACCCCAAACACACAGCCCAACGGACCAAAACTTGGTTCAATCAAAATCGCGTGTCCGTTCTTGAATGGCCTGCTCAGCGCCCCGGATGCAAATCCTATTGAACGTATATGGAATTATTTGAAGAAGCAACGCCAAGGATATAAAGCAAAGAATTTTGATAATTTGTACCGCAAATTACAAGAAGAGTGGGCAAAAATTGATGTAGCAGCCATCAAAAACCTCAATGCCTCGGCGAGTTGAAGCTATTATTCGTGCAAAAATACAAAATATTAGTTCTTTTAGATTTTTGTTATATCTATAATGTTTTTGTTGAATAAATATCTTTAGGGTTCGACAACTCCTACGACATTGGCATGGGGGCCATTACTTTTGAGCGAGCTGAAGTTTTCTTTTATATGTCACGTTTTAGAAAGCATTCGAGGATGAAACCAATAATATTTATGCATTTTTATGAAAAAGCTACATTTTTGTTTTTAAACATATTATTGCCTTTTATTTTTTATGACAAACCTGGCCGTTTAAGGGCGGCCATTTGAGCGGCACTGTATCTAATGAAACAAAATGGACATTTCTCTTTCAAAAGACCAATTGCCCTACATTATAGTGGAGGGCGTTATTGGGGATATACCGAAATTGTTCCAATAGAAGCACATTTTCCAACACCCACTGAGGTGTGCTTCGATTTTTTCAAATTGTCTAGGAACTCCAGGAGTAAATTGAAAGATTTCACAAATTTTCAAAATAGTTCCTGCAAGCAACCACTGCCCAAAATAGTAATTGTTTTTAAGAATTCATTTATTTCCCACAAGAAAAAATTAACAATCGAGACGTAGGAAATGTGCGATCGACGTAGGAATCCGAGAAGAAAGTTTGTGCCATTTCATAAACTTCTGTAACCACCCTTCACTAGCCTTGAAATTGTTGTTTAATTCCTCGATCGTTTGACACTGATCCCAACTACAATGCATGTTTCCCCGAATCGTCCGTCTTGAGGCTTTCAGTTTTTGCATTCTCTGCACACGAATCCATTTGAGTAATTTGTCTTCTACTTTGTCAAATGTCTTCCGGCTCCTTTCAAACGCTTGGATTCCACTAGATTGTTGCTGCTCAATTTGATCCTTTTTGTTGAACTCATTGCACAATCATAGCTCGATTGACACCAAACTTCGCCGGCAGGCTTGTTTGAAATTTTCTTAGCGTATTCACAGCTTTTGATTTGAAACTTCTTGTATCGGCTTTGTTGTCGTGAAGCTTCGAATGGCTTATCTTCGTTTTCGCTCGAAACGGCATGGTCATGGGCATCACGTCGACCTTGGCTTCCAGCTCCGTTTACCAAATTTGCATCACTGCGACTTTCGTGACCCTTTTGCAACCGATCGACTTCCTCGAGCAACTTCGCGTTTTTCTCTTCATACCATCCGTCGAGTTCGTTTTTCCGGCGCAAGCGAAATTCCTCGAGGTCGTGTCGCCATAATCCTGCGCCACCCTGTATGTTAGCTGGTGTACGGTAGTTTTAGCGCACAATAAAAGTGATGCTTCTATTGGAGAGTGTGCTTCTATTGGAATAATTACGCTACGCTAAACGATATACGTTTTTATGAAAGAACCCAGAAATATTCAGTCAAGTTGGTAGTGTAAATGTCCCTAGTGCAAATTCCCTTTGCTGCAAATGGATATACCTCCGTTTATTATAGTATTTACGATAAACTTTGTGACGTTCCTAAAACTCAAATCGATGAACCGGAGGCGCATCCTAAGCGAACTGAAGACCCACACGACAAAATATGCTCTATCGGCTAGATATCAAGCTGCCGAGAATATTCGAGCCTTCAACTTGAGACTAGCAAGCTTTTCCGCTCGTTTGAATTTGCTGCTTTTTTAGTATTGCGATGAGTAGTTTTTATTTGTGTCTTTTCCTAATTATTTCCATGGTTTTTGGAAATTTCTTAACTTCCATTTACAGCTATTTCCTGTGATAGGAATAGGTATTATTTTTGGGTACTATTTTTGTCGATTACTCTTTAGCCGAGAGGTACTATTACAGGGAAATACGGTATATCTGGATAAACTAGATCTACATTTCTATATCATTTTTATTTCAAAAAGTTTTGGAATAAGAAAATTCATAATAAAACATACCCAAAAACTAGGCCCGAATAATTCTTCCACTGTTACTGGATGAGTATCTTTTAGTTTATTCACTCAATCCTGTACTATATCTATTTGGCTGGCTTGGGCGGTGCTTTGGTGTTGCTCTCGGTGGTTTATTGTGCCGAGGGATCGTTGGAGGCACAAGTGTTCGAGCGATTGCCGAGTGTTGGCTTACATTGTAGGATAGAAAATTTCGTGATAATAGAAGCACATCTCACTCTTTAAAAATAACTTTTTCTAAGGTTCTTTTTACTAAAAATCGCTTTTTAAAAGCTCTACCTAAAGGTGAAAAGAATCTTTGAACAAGTTGACTCTAATGACTCTAATGGGGTAAATTTCCGTAAACAACTATCAACGTTAACACCGAAAATTCCGCGGTCCACTGTAGGAGTCAATTTTCTCAAATTAAGTTATGACTCTTTTTTGACCAACTTTTTAAGCCTAATTGTAAAATACTAGGCAGTTGTCCAACGAACATCAAACTTTTCCCAGCGCTCCGCTCCGGTCTCATCACGACGGGATTGATCTCGGTGACTGAATGGAGAAGAGATTTCTCGTTTTTATCTACTCAAACTACTCGGCATTCGTGGGACACAAAGGGTTCCCACATGCAACACCCCCACAACAAGTCAATCTGAATTTGGAAACACAAGCCTATTTCAGTTACTACCAGCAGAGTTGGTGAAGGAAACTGTTTGGAAACTTTTACAAGTAAACTTCCATCAAAAACATATACACGTACACTTCATCAAACACTATTCACTCTACAATTCTCTTTTTTCGTTTCCTCTTATTCTTTTCAATTTGGTCTTCAACCTATAAAATTAGCCGTAATTTTATACAGACATTTCTCACTGGTTTCTACTGGTGAGGCTCCACTGGTGCACATTCTATCTACAGGATTGTTTAGAATTATGGCGAAAACTTTTTAGGAGAACTTTTAGTAGAAGCTTTTTCTAAAAAACTTTCCATCATAAGTACCACATATTATATAGTATTCGAAA